TATGAATTATATCAATTAATGTTTATTTCACGCCATTTTACATCTAATCCATTTACTTAACATCTTTTTTGACAGTGTAATCCTTGCTGAGAAATTAAAGGGCGTTACTTTATTAATTAGTTTCTCGGGGGCGGGGGTTGATATGAAACCTTCTTCTAGATCCACTGTTCATATGGAATTGTTCTCTTCTTTTATTACCTGTTTATTATGTTCACATTGAAAGCATTACCATATATCACAAAACAATAACAATCGTTGTAATAACAAATACACTTCTATGAATGCTACAGGGCGCACACTATTTAGTGCATATAAATGTTTATCTTACAAACTTTCGCCACTCTGTTTCCTACATAGTTGAAGAATATCTTCCCAAATACGATCACTTTCAACAAAAGTGGGCCAAAAGAAAGAGACTTTTAAAACAATGATGATACCAATTACCCTACATTCATGGCAGTTTAGAAACATAAGGGTAAGATAACAAACACTTTTTGATAAGAAACCATACGTAATTCAGTTAAATCTGTGTAACGGAATTGCAAAAACAGCTTTTAAGACAGAGTGATACTTTTATAACAGAAAAAATGAAATGGCTCTTTGTCAGTAGCTTAATATTTGTAGACATTATCGTTTGATCTATAGATATGTTTGTTATATCACCAAATGGGAAAAACTAAGAGAAATGACAAATGACAATGACATTATACGGTTCATCTCTACCTAATTTGAAAAATATTTACGTTAAGGCTTTATTCATAATAAAAGCTTCGCGTTGATCGTCTAATCAACAGATGTTCTAGTAATTCATACGGCTGGCATCATGAGAAAATAATTCTGATACAGATATGTTACCGTTCGTATTATTCTTTTGAATAACAATAACAGTTTCATTAGTTTATGTTGACAAAAGAAACGTTATTGAATAATAGGTGCATGAGGCAATGAGATATTTGTAGTCAGTTTTATGACATTTGTTTCTTTCAATACAAGCCATCTAAACATTAATGTCTATCTACAAAAAATGTCTGCAGATGGTTAGGAAATTTGTTTGATAAGTTCGTTTGTATTCATGCTCTCAATTTCTAAAGGAAAGGAAAACTCCCTTTCATCCCATTTCCAGCAACAACAAAACTTGAATTTGGCTTCTTTTCTGCAACCCCCAAAGCTTCCTTTTCAACTCGTTGATCTCTTCATCAGTTCGTCTCCACCTGCAAACTAGTTATCATTGATAGTTTTTGCTTCTTTTCTTCGTAAATGAATAAAGAACAGCTGCACTTTATTAATTGGTCGCCATTCAATCGGCATCTAAATGTTGATTGTGCGTGGAGAGAGAGAATACCAAGAGATACTCCCTTAACCAAACGTTCCCGTCCAATTTCAATTGCTCTCAGAATAGGGCGATTCGCCCCGGGCTAACGCAGGGTCGAGGAGGAAAAAAAAATCCCACAAACCTACTCATCATCAGAGCCACTGGTAACAATACAACGAGTTATACACATCATAATTCATCTCGAAAATTAGTTGCTCGATTTAGTGGACAGATTTGCGGGTATAGGAGAGAGTATGATATTAGGGATCATGTCTGGTGCACAATGGCATGGGTAGACTCACCGCGGCGTCATTGGACAATTACTGGCTATTGGTGCCTTATGACTCGAAAAATGAGGCAGACTTAATAAGTGATCACATCTTCCCCTCACCATTTACAAAAAAACCGAGACCAGTATATCAAACAAGTCAATAGCCTTTCCTCCTTTAAATATATGGAGGGAGGCTGAGAGAGAGAGGGGGAGAGCATGAAAGATTACAATCATCTCCGATTGATACGGCTTTTTAAATGGGCGCTTAACAAAGGTACCAAGTATTTTAAGCTCTCCACCGCAAGTTAAACATGAATTTATCGGTTTGTGAGCGGGCACAAAGCTTACTGGCTCCCCGACGCCAGCCCGGCTTCTCCGCATAGTGATCCGCCATAACGTGATCTGTCACGGGGACATGCGTGCACACCGAGCCGAAACATGGCCCGCCATTGTTTGAGGAAAATTTAACTGTTTCACGGTCCTGGTTTCTTTATTTTTCCCTTTTTGACTTAAGCACTAGCCAATTACTTTAGGGCTGGTGTAAAATACTTTGTGGCTTTATCACTGGAGTGAGAAATGGAGAAAAGGCAGAACTCGGAAAAGGAGAGGCTATGAATCAATCTGTTACTAGTATTTTTCATCCGGGATTGTTCACCTACAAAATTAGTTTCATCAATGAACATTGAACATGACGTCATAATGTGCCGTACTGCAGTCCGTGTATTGTGACAAAGGAAGAAAATTCTAAGACAACTCAACATCTTAATTAGATAGCAATTAAGAGTGACCTTTGTCTTTTGTGTTTCGATTTGACCCCCCTATAATCCTCAGCAATCTACAATCGTGTCAAATTAGTCAAACTTTGTCTGGGCGACAACTGTCAAAACTTTTTCCGTCTAAGCTAACATGGTTGGTATTCGCTTTTGTGCATAAGGTAGGTAGTGTGTTCGGTCCAGGTTCGAAGTTATAGGATTTCGACTCGTGTAAGAAATTTACCACATCTGTGAGGTGAAGGTTGTCCGAATTCTGATTATTGAAATTGTCTAATAATGGGGGTAGCCCCCCCCCCCCCCCTCATCGCACGCCTATGCTAATACTAATCTCAATCAAAATCATCCCGGAAGGATTTTATTGCGTGTGAAATCAAATTAGTCTGTGTTACTAAAATGCCATGAAATTGATAATTACATTTTTAACGAATTGTAGAATCTCTTGCTGCCCAAAAGCATTGTCAGATGAAGATCATTGATTGCTATATTCAAAACATTACGAATTAGTTATTGGAGAAAAGGCATTGAAAGGCGTGAGCAAAATCACCATCAGAGAAGTAGGAGATTATATTTTGTAGTAACAAAATGCAATAAACATCATAAAGAAAGAGATCAAATTGGAATTATAGAACATCAATCAAAATGATGCTCATGGATTTGCTTCGTCATTTTCTTTGTCCATTTATACGTGATTGTTCAGGCATAGGCTATGTTAGTTTTATAGTTCCAATCGTACTTACAAATGCCTTACAATTCATAAATCAAACTGACAACCAATTACTCAAGCTTGTGTGAGTTAAAGTCGAACTTTTCCATCCTAACACGCACGCGATAAAACCATTAGTTACAGTATAACGTGGTTCAATATTATTTTGTTCTCACCAACAAACACATTCGTTATGCTACGATTGATTTCAAAAGAAAGTGGAAATGTCACTTTAGCATATCATGTTTCATAACATCACCACGACTGCACCTTCATCAAACTATACAATTGTTGAAAACATTTTACATTATTCATAATGAAAGTGAATAAAGGAATTCTTCTTCTTCTTCTTCTTCTTCTTCTTCTTCTTCTTCTTCTTCTTCTTCTTCTTCTCTCTGTCTGTATGTCTCTCTCTCTCTCTCTCTTTCTCTCTCTCTCCCTGTCTATTTCTCTCTCTATATATATTATATACATTGTTGCTCATAAAGTTGGAAAACATTTTACTAGCCTCTTTTCATGGAATGACAGTGACAATGATTTATTCTTGATAGATAAAATGCATCTCTTCTCATAAACTTATTGAGCGATGAAGACTGAAAAATAAAGTCAGAACAATGAATTTCTGAGAAGATGTAAACTATATCCATCAATCATATTGTAACAATCATTTTATGAAAATTTGTAAGAAAAACAAATTCCAGCTTTATCATCTATCTCCCCCTCTAAGATTTTTGTTTACTCTCTTCCCCTCTCAATCACAATACAGGTTTGCTCAAAGATCTCATCGAAAAGAGCGAACCGACATTTTCAGAAAAAAAGAAATCTTTGGACAATTGTGTTTATATATTTCTTCACTTTGATCGTTTTATTTAAGACCGTTACGATAGTCTATGAATACAATAAATTTCAAATATAATACAGTTCGACACATGCAACGACAAGGCACCTTTTAAGGTATAGGCGACTTTTACATTTCAAGAACGAAAAAAACATGAAAACGTCGTGTATTTTTCATGTCTCACATCCATAATACATTTAATAAATTTATACTGTACAGATGCACTCGAAAGTTCATACAAAAGAGGCTGTTTTTTTCACAAATAGGTCTTTTAAATATACTGTGTTAATATTTACAATATAAAATACCCTGTAACAATACAGAATATGCGGTGGTTTATTTTAAGGTGGCGTTTTAGTCCCACACAAAAATAGAAGAATACAAAAAGCACATTTCTTAAATTCAAGGCCTCTGTGTTTTCTCAGCAGTGGCCCATGTAAAGACATGAATGTTGTTCCATAATCAGGTTTTATGTGTTGTAATAACATACCGTATTTAATGTGTGTACACGAAGCCATGTAAACAGATAATAACTTATATTTTTGTTAAACGATATTGCGCCCTATAGAAAGCCTGTGTTAATGAAATGAACGTGGACCAGATGAAACAACAGAACACTATCAGATAATAAATAATTATGAATATGAGTACAAATATCTGACCCCCCCCCCCCCGCCCCGAAAAAATTAATTCTTATTTATACCATTAAAAGTTAGTTAAAAGTAAATTGTCTTTAGAACTAAAGGAATCTGTTTCATATATGCCTATGGTGGCAGGTATGAATATTGAATTTTCAAAGGAATCTGTCTGATATGTTTTTTTTAATGTTTTAGGTCTGCTTTACCCGTTGACACTTATAGACACAGAAATAAAACATAATTAGAAATTGCAAACATTTCCGAAGAAAGCAACCTCTATGTCTAATCTAAAACATAACAGAATGAGCAAACTAAGACATGGTCTCAATGAAAATCTCATAGAAGCTGAAGTCAGTCAAATTCTACATAGCTTGTCAATTTTACACATTCCAGAATTCTGTTTTCAAACTAACTTGTTATGCATTTGTGTGCGTTCTAGATTCAATGAAAGCGGAATATAAAATGAAAGAAAACACGGCATTAATTGATATTAATATCAATAAATTTCATTTCCAAAAATGATGTATATTTAACACTCAGCAATAACATTAAAGGATTTTCATTGTAATACTGGCAATATGTTCGGCACTAAGTGGTATTTTTTCTGTAATACACAAAAATACGGTGGGTTTAGGCTGGTGAAAACAACACAAGATGCATGGAAAATAATCCTATCCGTATATCAGTTTTATGATCAAGTTAGAAATACATTTCCTTCTTAAAAACTGCTGTATAATTATGAAAAATTAAGTTCATTCAGTGAATTTTGCTGCTTGTTTTCTGTTTGCATGAAAAGAAAACGGCAGTTAATTAGATAATACAGGACGGTCTAAAGTGTCTATTTGGTTTTAATCTAAGAAAACACTTTTACCTTAGCATAATAGAATGGTCTTTACACAGAGCTGAATTTGTAAATTTGAATCATTCTTCTGCCAAAAATGTTTGCCTGGTCCAAACACTGATCACATTAGGGCATATTCTAAATTTGGCCATTAGGCATACCGTTATTCAACAAAACCAAGTTACTAACAAATATGTTAAATATTTTTATCGTTTTGTCGCGAAAATAGAGGAATAATATATTGTGTTTCAATTCGATTGGAAAATTGACAATAAAAAAAAGAAAGTTGGCCATTCTCGGGAATGTCTGAATATATTCAAAAAGTTTCCTACATTAACGTTTAATCATAAGGCAAAACGTCAACCAGTCAATATCTATCATTACGTCACCAAGACTTGTCACGTGACAGCCTGGTAAGACACAATGATTCTGAGGAGATTTTAAAAGGCGGGAAAATTAAATACTTTGGCACTTCTTGGTGAGAGGTGGAGAGAAAATAATAAAAACAAGGGCACTTTGTGCTTGTGTATCATTTCAGCGGTGGGCTTTTTGTTCTTACAGAATAATCTTTTTTACATACTATCATTATGACTTTAAAAGAATTCTAATAAATCTCACATGGCTGCGTAGATAACTTAGAGAAAATAACAATTGGCATATCAAAGTCCTCAATTTTTGGCCCACAATGGACGGCAAGCAATTTTTAATGTAAACGTATTTGGAACTTTGCAATGCATGATGGACTTGCAGATGACGTCATGCAGCAAGTGTCAGTTCGGCTACTCACCCATGACAATACAATACTGCCACGGCACCATGTCATGTCAACATAAACAATATTGACGGATTCGTCTACATCGCCATCTTCAGTCAAAATAGGAATAAGCACACCGACGTGTAAGTAGATAAAGTTAGGCACCAGTTCATTTTTTAAGAGCGTTCATGAAGCAATAAGGTGCAATGTCCAATGGCTTGGTCATTCTCAAAAGCTCCCGGTTGTATATGGATAGACTATGTTCGATGGAGCTGGCGGTGATGGTAAATATGCATACGGTCCTAGATGATAGGGACTGAGGGAGATCTGTGGCCTGAGCGCCGCGTGGAGCGGGCTGAGTGACGAGTAGTACGCGCTGGCAGGAATGTGCATACCGAGTCCAGGCGCGAACATAGGTTTGGCCGCCATCTTGAGTTTCTCGAGTTCGGCCTCCTGGAGGCGCTTGGCCTTGGCCCTCCTGTTCTGGAACCAGATCTTGACCTGAGTTTCGGTGAGGTTGAGCGAGGCGGAGAACTCGGCACGTTCGGCTATCGAGAGGTACTGCTTTTGGCGGAATTTGCGCTCCAGAGCGAGAAGTTGTGACGTGGTGAAGGGTGTCCTAGGCTTCCGGTTTGTCTTGTGCTTCCGGAGCGTGCACTGCACTTTGGGTCCTGCGAATGGAGGTCGGATTTCTGATGAACCTGCAGGTTGAGAAGAAAGAAAAAATACAGATAGAATGTTTAGTTCTATTTCTAAAAGAAAATATCAATTTAATAATTTGTAATCATCTGGGGGGGGGGGGGGGGGGTTGCTCAAATTGGTAAATCCCACCTGACCGAGAATGCCGGTCTCGTGAATCATCATACAACAAGTGCTCATGAGAACCTCGTTGACGGTCGTGTGGGTCGTCGGTCTCGTAGGCCGTCGGTCATTTGGGTCGTAGCCGTTTTTTAATTTGATGATTGTTTGTCTGATATTACTTTGTCAAATGACTAGAAAAATTATATCGGCTCTCTGCCATCCACTTGAATGAATGTTTTATTGTGATTTAAGTTGTGTGGGACAATATTTGTTGGATTTTCTCCAGGAATGATATCCGTATAATGCTCGTGTGACATTCAGATGTAATTGTGTATGATTGTGACAAAATTGAAATGATTGAGGCCATTTAAGGCACGATTCAATTCCATAACACTAAAATATTTTTTGTTAAAGAGCTTAAAGATCCATAAAGGCACTACATAATATGGTAGAAGGTAAATTGTGTCTACTGTATCTTTCTCTGCCTTGGCAAGTACACCAGACAAATAATGAACAGGAGCCCTCAACAAGTCAAACAAAATGTTGAAATCTATCCTCCAGAAAGAAGTTGAATCTCAGATTTGAAAATACACTCTAAGCCTTTCATTTGTCACTAAACGTAATTCCAACTGAAACATTACTTTTTATATAGATCCCTTTCACCAACGTCTGCAAGAACGCATCTAGGAATCAAGTGAGTAATTGATGGAGACACTTTACATCAGGCCAACAAGACGTGTAATTGGTACCGGCGTTAAGGAAATAATTATCAAACTTTCCAGCTCTCGCTTCAATTTGTTTCACTTTGAGAACAGGTGTTACAAGTTTGGGGAATCATCATGACTTCTGTAAGACGGATACCATGCAGAAGGAGCAACAAAAGTGCACCGAACTTCGAGAACGATTCTTTTGCTCTCAGTCTACTTTTTTTCTTCTCTCCTCCCTCTCTCTCAATCGGTCTGTCCATCATTGCCTTATTTAACCCTATCACTCTCCATGTTCAATCCTCATTGGAATTCGGATCATCATGGAATACAAACTCCAACGACACATCGACAAGACGAGTTCCAACAAAACCCGAAGAAAGACCAGGAATGCAAAACTGAGACTAGAGGGAATGTGTAACAAGCAACATGGCGGGAGGAAAAATACGAGCAAAATTGAAGGAAATGACCAACAACTTCCGATGCGCTGGTTCAAGTACACGTTATCGGGTGTAATAGAGGGCAGGACAGTAATTGAAACCCCTGGATCCATAAAACCCAAGCAGACGACGAGACTGGGCATAGAGGGATACATGAGGAATGGGGCTAAGGTGGGTTCGATAGAGGGGGTGCGTGAGGTGGCATGAAGGGTGTATTATTTCGAAAAGCAGGATAATTGTCTTTTTTGGTTCCAAGGAGGATAAAATAAATTGGCTTCGATAAAATGTTGGTCCATATTATCCATATCAATGCAAACATTAAAAGGTTCGAGGATGAAGTGCACAACTGCATCAAGACGGGGGGGGGGGGCTCTGTTTCCTTATCGCATCAAGGGATTTCATTAGGGGGCATCGTCCACTCACTCCCCATTTCTCAGGTTTAACAGAGAATATGACAAAACTGTAAAACAGACAAAATCCCTACAGTTCACGGTTATTGTAGAATAATTTGAAATACTACAAGTTAAGTTGCGATTTCGAGGCAGAAGAGTGTTTAATGGACCATACGTGTTTTCTGGGTCCTTTAATTTCTATAAAAGGTATTCATAATGCTGAATATTTAATGAATATGGACGTGAAGAGAGGCTCTGTAGAAGAAACTATACGTGAAATGGGAGGGGGAACAGGAATTTGTCATAGAGAAGAAGAGAGCTGCACTTCGACACCTCTCTCTTGTCTAGCACGAATATGATTCAATCAATGATCCGATGTTGATGACGAGTATTATGAAAATTGAATCACATTTCTCGTTTGACACGTCCTACACGTCCCGTCTGGGAACTCTGATCTGATTTCGACCAACCATACCTGCGCTGCCAAACTCGACATGTTCATCAAAAGATATCTAAATCATCGAGGGCTGTAGCAAACTGAAATTAAATTTCTGTTCGGTGATACGATTCCGGCTGCCAGAACCACCCTCCCTCCCCCCACACACACCTTTTTTCACAACACTTTTGTTTTCGAATTTCCTTTTTGTACATAAGTTGCCCTACAGTTTGGATCGTTTTTCTCTACCAATAGATCCTTTCCTATAATTGAAATTCCAATTTTCCACTCTTGAATTTAATTTAAAAGATATATGCCTATAATAAACCAGAACTTTGCTCTTGAATTTATTTTTGAGGCATACAGATTACAAGACGAGTCTCTTTCGATAGCAAGAGACTAGTTACGAATAAACAGCTACTCTAGGGGAACTTGAAGAAAGTAATGAAGACTAATGACCGTTTAGGGTTTTACGTGGAGGCTGCGGTCATGATCACCCGCTTAGCAATGTTATCCTTGCCGCCAAATTTCGCGACAAATCGGGACAAATGTTTCTCCGCTCGTATTGTGACAAAAATCCTCTTTTCCGTCATTCCCCTTTGATTCCCCGTCGCATTTCTATCGCCTATTTCAGCAGCCGCGCGGGTGCGTCGGCGTCGACGGGCAACGAGGGAGTCATTACGGCTGATCCCACCGGTATGCTCCGGCGGGACAAGCGCGCGCCGACCCCGATTGCAGCAACGCAACGTATTCTCTATCACCTTCAGCACCCCCCCCCCCCCTCTCCCACACACACACACACCATCCCCCACCCTTTCCTTTACTTCAAACTCTCCCTCTCCTTGTCAAATTAGTTTTTAATATGCTCTCTAATTATCAAAGACGGGGTAATTTCAAACTGGTTTATTTTAGCCTTGAACTGACCTAAATATTGTTTGACGACAATTCGAGTATTATTTTCGGACTCTCAATTTTGGTCAATTTTGTATGTGTGTGCATCGAGTTATTACGCTGTATTATTGTAATGTTTAAGTGTTTAAGTGCTGAATGTAATAGCAAAGTTTCTTAAAAAGTCCTCGAACGATATTCTTTGGAAATTCATTATAATGATAAAGCCATAAGAAGAATGAAATTTAAAATTCATTTGGTTAAAAGTTGAAACAACGCAATAAGTTAACATTGAGGATTGGTAAGTGTGTACATGAATCAGAGACACCAATGCATGGGCAATTGTATTGGTCTACAGTCCAAAATAAAAGTGGTCTTTAGAAGAAACATGACTACGCACATGTGATGCATTAATGGGAAAAATAAATTTGATAGTCCCTAAAGAGGTATTGTTTGGCTTTTTTTTATAAAGATTCAAATTCTTCTTCTCTCCTATGCGATCTAGCTAATAACATCGAATTTGTAGACGTCGCGACAATCCACATTGCTCAAATCCACTTCAATAAGAGAAATTGTGACTAAGTTATGATCACAACTCTGACATGTTTACAGTCACAACTATTTGTGTGTTTTATTGGAGGACCGATTTATTTCCTTCTCACGAGCCCTTCCTTCCATCCCTCCCCCTCTCTCTCTCTCTCGCGACGTCGATGTTTTTCATCTTCTACTAACGGGCGGAAGAAGTTCACATCAAATTACCCAAAATATCGATAAATCCGTGACAAATTTGAAGACAGGTGGCAATGCCATCGGTAAGAGTATCCAAGACTCCAATCTAACCACATTCTCTCTCGAGATCTAGTTCAGAGCTTCAGCAGAGAGACCATAGCTGGCGTCTCTCTGGCGCTCCCACAGTAAGGGTCGCAGAAGGCCATTCTTGAAGTACGAAGTTGCAGACAACGCGGTTTGCAACGTGTGGGACTGAGGATGATGACTTTACCATCTCAACACTCGTCTACTTTATCACTGCCTTCTATCTGGCAGAAGAAAAGAACCACGTCCGATTTCTTGAATGTCTCCAATTTGTCAAAGATTTCGGATGTAGGACTAGAAAAAAACTTTGGAATACGAACCAGAGAAGAGATGGATGGTATATGCATTTGACAAATGACCCACAAACGGTGACATCATACTCGGTTTTCTTCGACTGGTAAAAAGTTATTGTTTCCAAAAATAAAATTTCCGTATCAGTCATCACCATCTCTTAGGTTTATGACAAAATCGTTCATTGGGAGAAGTTATGAGAAAGCGTTAGTGTTAGAGAACACCACTTTAAATTAATAATTTCAAAAAGCAGCATCTTTTAATATTTATAAACGCAATTAAAGCATCGGAAACAATCGGCATGAACACTTCCTTATATTGTGATTACTCCAAAAGATATGATAACTTCAGATTTAGAAACCTGCCTCGTATAGTCAGCAATTTCATTCAAGTTTTAGCTGTACTTATTTAGTTCTTTTTTAGGTCATCGATGGATGGGCTTAATATAGAGAAAGACAAGCATGGATGATAATTTAAATGGAGTTAAAATATCGACAAATTCACAAAACTAGTCTAGAAAAAAGAAGAAAACTGTGAGTGTATGGTATCAATATTATCATGTCCAATGTAGACCGTCTCCAAAATGGTCTACTCATAAACATCGAGCTATAGCTGTAAGTATTCAAGATGCTTATTATGAATATGATTTTAAGTCAACGACCAATTCCGTAACATCAGAATGACGAGAATTATTAAAAATTACTCCATGCATAGTTGCAATGGAAGCACGGATTTATGTATTCTGAAATTGTGTCAGCTGCAGATTCTTAGACATAAAAATCCGTCTGCCTTGAGGAGTTTTTAAACGTTTTTAGTCTTTTGACTATCCATGTGATGTAGGAAAAGGATTCGGTAAAGCCAGACGTAGTCTCAGCGGAACATATCCCCGAGCGAAATACACTGATTTCTCGGTCTGCAAAAATCCATATTCTAACA